CCCCTGGTGGGCCACATCCACAGCCCTCACTCATAATAGGCACACCCACTGCCTCCCATTCTGAATGGCTGACCCCAGCACCTAGTGGACTTCAACTAATTAATTCTGGACATATTGAGAAGTCTAACTGATGTGGGGCTAGAGAGATGGCCAAGCAGTTCAGAGCACTATCTGGTCTTTCTTGCATGTAAGTTCTCCCCAGCATCCAAGAACAGATCATTTACGTGCTAGTTAATGAATGATTAGCATGTTACCCAGAATGCATGGCTGTCTGGTGTGTATTGTATGAATGTGATGGGCAAAAGTATGCAATATACACTTCTGTGTCTGGTGTACTTGTGTACATAGGAGCTATTTGTGGTTGGTATGTTTATGTGTGCAGTGTGTGTATATATATACATGTTTAAGAATGTTTTGCTTTCACATGGTGTCTGTGCATGTGGAAAACAGGTATTGTGCCTTGTGTGCATTTGGTGTGTGTTCTATATCCGTGAACTCTGTGTAGTTTGTCTGATGCATCCATGTGTGGATTTAGTATGCATGCAGTTGTATGTGCTTATGTTGTATTTGAGCTATCACACATGAACATCAACCATACATATGCACTATCATGAATACCATATACACATATTCCTGCACCCACCACATTGCTGTGGGCTATTTGTACACACTGTGAAGATGTATTGCTGTGATTGGTGTAATAAAAAGCTGAGTGGCCAATAACTAGGCAGGGAGGTATAGGTGGGACTTCCAGGCAGAGAGAGAACTCTGGGGAGAAAAAAGGCTGAGTTTCCAGCCAGATGCAGAGGCAGCAGGATGAGCAGTATGGAGAAAGGTAATGCCACATAGCAGAACACAGATTAATATAAATGGGTTAATTTAAGTTAAAAGAACTAGTTGAAAACAAGCCTAAATTAAGGCCCAGCTTTCATAATTAATAAGAAGTCTCTGTGTCGTTATTTGTGAGCTGGTGGCCCAAGGGAAACCTGACTGTGCTGCATACAAACATGCTCAGCATGCATACACTAATGTGCGGCACCAATGCACATGGGCATCACAAACACGGTGCTCCACACAAATGCACACATGCCAGCCGGGCACATCTTACCTCACGTGGGAAGTACACAGGTGCTTTACTCTCCTTGTGCCTTCTCTGCCCGTGCACCATACATGGGTTCCACATCCCACATCACCACTGTGCAGCTAGTGCCGGCCTGGGCCCCAGGAGAGAGGTGCAGAGGTACAGGATGGAGAGCAAGCACCATATCTCCACAGAGGGCACCTGACCTGCTCCAGAGGAGAGAGCCTCCTACACCGGTGTGGGTCCACAATTCTTGATGAAAACCTTTGTCTTGGAGAGAGGCAGGCTGGGGTTCTGGGAATGAGAGCCCAGCAGACTGGAGCCAAGTGTCAATCCTGATGGTACCTTAGATGGAACCTTAACCCTAGCCCCAATGACAGTCCTAAACTAATTGACCCCAGCACTAACTCTGACACCAACCCACAACCCCATTTCTTGCCCAACCCCAACCCCAATGCATCCCACTTCCAACCCTAATCTGACCAAAATCCTAACTATAACTCCAACCTCAACCTCAACCCGTAGCCTTAGCCCAACCCCAAATCCCACCTCGGCTCTAACTCTCATCCCAGTCCAAACCCAAACCTAACCAAATCCCAGTGCCATGCAAACCCTAATCTCTTCCAGGCACACCTCAGATGCCAACTCCCCAAGGAAATCACCAAGATCTCAGATGGACTGAACGTCTCTGCCCTTCCCTCATTCTCTTGCCACCAGGCACATGGTTGGCATTTTTAATTATCTTCATATGTGACTTAGTATATAAGGTTACAAGTTTATAATTAGCTAATATGAATGTTTCTGAAGCCACTAGAGGCAAAAATCTGCGCCCCTCTCTGACTGGTGTCCCTGGGGGCCAGTGGGGAGAAACAAAGTGGCTCTCAGTTTCATTCTTGATGCACAAGCAGATTGAGTTCGAGTGTTGTGGATGTTGAAAATTCTTCTGCGTGTTGTCCACACTCTAACATGGATAACCTTCCGGGGTCTCTTCCAAAGGAAGAGGTCCCTGGACCATCTCAGGGTCAGCCAAGCCTTCCTCTAGGAAAGGACAGCAGGAATAACTGTCTCCTGTTGGGGTCCCCTCCTAGCTGTGGGAAAGGGTGGATAGAGGGACTCAGGCAGGAGTCTGACTTTCGGAGAGAAGGGGAAGCCCTGGAGTAGCGGAGACAGGCTGCTACAGCAGTTCCAGATTTTCTCAATGACAGGCTATGGCTCTTAGGTCCAGGCCACAGATTGGCCCTGGCCATGGTGGGCACTGCAGCTGTGGGAGTCCCTGGCCCATGCCACAGCTATGAGATGCAGAGCCCAGGCACAGCCCACAATGCTGGACCGGGTGCTCTGTGGGGTGTGGCTGTGGTTACTATAGAATGAAGAGGACTCCACTTCCCACGGCTTGGGCTGGTGCTCACAGGCTGGCACTTGTGTGCACAGAAACAACTATTTATGAATATCATGGATGTGTCCCGACTGTGGCCATGGACTCAGCTGGCATCTGGAGTCTGCTTCTGTAGGAACACACAGGACCTCAGATAGATTCTGGGTGAGCGAGGCTCTCAGAGCAGAGGGAGGCATTGACTCCAAGCGGTTAAGGGAGGACAAGGTTTTTGCGAACCTGCTCAAGCTGCCTCCACAGTGAGGCTTCTCCATTGCCGAGGCATTAGCTGTGGGCAGCTCTGTCCCCTTTCCCCCCTTCTGGGACACAAGGGTGTCACTATGAGTGGGAATAGTTGCCAGTGAAGGAGACCTGGGGTGTGTCAACAACACCCACTGTATTTGGTGCTACAAGCTGCATGTCTGTCCCTCACCTCTCTGTCTCCCAGAGTCCTCGGAACCTTAGCCCTCAGTGTCATGGAATATGGAGGTTGTGGAAGACGTTTAGGTCAAGAGACGAAGCCCTCATTATTGGGATTTGTGCCCTACTAGACCCAAAACAGTTGCCTGGACCTCTGCCATGTGAGGGCACGAGGCACGTTTCTATGATTGGGAATTTGTCCCTCAGCAGCATCTCAGCCTTACCAGTCTCGAGAGCTGTGAGTAAAGATATCTTTGGTGATGAGCCCACCTGTATACCCCATTATGGCGGCTCAAATGGAAGAAGACAGTTGGCATCCACTTCAGCACCCAAAAGGCCAGCCCAGGCATGCAAACTATTTGCAAATGACCCCACCCGCCTGGCATGACAATGAAATGTGGGCACACCTTGCTGGATTCCCATAGCCTCAGGCTCTACTGATTTGGGACTGTCCTTATTGGTGTAGTGGTGTCTTATAAAAGCAAGAGATAGATATTCAGCCGTGGAAGCCCTCACCACGGCACCAGCGAGTTCCACATATTCAGAAAAGACAGCGTAGTTCCACTGAAGGTTTGTGTTCCACGTTGCCAGGCTGCGCTGATGCAACTGCGCGGTGATTGACTTTGCTTGTCATTTTCTTCGGTTTCTTTCCCAGGAGGATCACAATGCGCCCTTGAAAGGAAACTGCTCTCAGCAAGCCTGCACCTACCTCTAAGCGTCCTCTGGATGAAGGCTGTGGCTCACAGGGAGAATGGGAGGTTCTGAGATGGTGTAAATGCGGGACTCCTCTGTGGAGGGCAGAACAGCTGCCCCTGCCTCAAAGAGTTGGGTCAAACACTGGGAAACCAAGCCAAGAGCTGTGTCACAGGTGTGACAGCAGCCTCCCAACCCCTCCCTGCCCGGCCACTGTCATTCTTCCCCACAGAGTTCAACTTGTGACAATTATTACCTTCAAATGTCACCACTAACAGCTGCTGGGAGCCTGGGTGAAGGAGTCTCTGGTCTAGGATGCTACCTGAAGGAAGGTTTGAAGAAAACCCTCCCGTCCCTTGGCCTCACACTGTCTCTAGCTGGTGTGTGTTTCTGAGGGGTCACACTGTGCACAGAACCCCACTCCTCGCCGCCAGGAGCCCATGGCTCTTTCCCATTGCTATGTTCCCCTCAGACATTATGTTCACGTCTACATTGCATAGTCGGATCTATTTCACGCCGACATCTTTTTAGAAGATGATTTCTCTTTATGTAGTTCTGAGAATGGAAACTAGGATGTCTGGTCTACTAAGCGAACACAAAGACACATCCCAGCCCTGTAGTGAAATCGTATAAAATCCGACGATGCATGTGAAAACACCAGTGTTCTCCAGGATATGCTGACATTCGGGGACACTCTTTAGCCACTGGGATTCTAGTCATGCTTTTCAGTGGCCAGAGAGCTAAGTCTCACCTGGAAAGTCCAAGGTTGACCCTTTCTTGTATCTTCACGCCTTTGGGTATGATCGCCCTCACCCCGTCAACACAGATCTACTGAGCATTTACTCTGAGCCACAAAACTGAGAGAGTTTTGTATCTCCTTCTGCCCGTACCACAACTGACGTCAGGGGTGGATTTTGCCCGGACACAGGCACTCCGCTGCTTGCAGAGTGGAAGGCAGGGCTCTGCTCTTAGTTTTCCCTCAGAAGAAACTCTGACCTAGTGAAGCCACCACCACATGCCACTTCAGGAGTCCAGGCCTGCCTCAGATACAGGACCAATCTTGCAGCCATTGAATGAAGAGAACTCGGTCATGATGTATGATCTTCTTCATGTGTTCTTAACGTCTTAAAAACTTATTTGTGTGTAGAGGTCAGAGGACAACTTCCAGGGATTAGTTACTTCCGTCTACCACGTGGGTCCCGGGGCTCAAACTCAGATGGTCACATTGGCAGCAGGTGCCTTTACCAGCTGAGCCGTCTTGCCAGTCCTCAATGTGTTCTTGAATTCTATGTGTAGAAGCTTTATAGCAACTTTCTGTACCTATGTCGTCGGGGACACTGGTGTAACATTCCCGTATCTGATGTTTATTCGTCTGGTTTTGGGCCTAGGGTAACCAGGCCTGGGTGAAAAACTGGAAGACACAGGGTTGCTTGCCACTTTTCAGAAGTTTTATTACAAAGAGGTCTGAGCAAAGCACGGGGGGCACCAGGACAGACATAGCAAGGGCCGGGAGACAGCTGCGAACAACACGAACCAAAGCCTAAACCAAATCCAAACCCCAAACCACACACATGTCAGGAGAAGCCACAATGTTGTTCTCAACTTTTCTTCATAAATAGATGGCCAAAATTGTTGCTGGCAATTTTAAATAGGTGGATATATGATCAAAAAAAGAAGAAGAAGAAGAAGAAGAAGAGGAAGAAGAGGAAAAAGAAGAACATAAAAAGGAGGAAGAAGAGGAAGAAAAGAAGAAGAAGAAGAAGAAGAAGAAGAAGAAGAAGAAGAAGAAGAAGGTGGTCCTTGGATGTGGCTTAAAAGCTTCCATTCTCTCTGTGTGCAGATAAGAATCAGTTTGACAGCTGTTTGTGCACATGTCTCCCTTAAGATAAAACTTAAAAAAAAAAAACTGTGCTAAAGGTCTTATAAAACTTTTTTTTTTTTTTTACTTTAAAGGAAGCTTTCTTTCTCCCCACAAAATAATCTTACAGATGTCTTCAACACGGTTCTAAAACAGTGAACTACTTACACGGAACCCACAGCGCGTGGGTTTCAGCATCTTTTGTGCACACCGAGAGCACACATGTGGCTGGCCCAGCATCTGGGGTGGGTGTCTGTTGCTAAGCAACCTCGAGGGGGGGCAGCCCGGTGAGCTTGGGCTGGGGCCAGAAGTCCAGACGCAGGGGACTGTGTGCAGGCCAAGGAGTGGGGTCCACAGCTACCCTGGAGCAAGCGGGTCAGCGGGCAGAAGGTTCCTGCAGGTTCTTTGGGCTGGTGGTGGGCGGTGGGCTGCCTCTGCAGAGTCTGGTGGGAGGTCGAGGGAGAGACTCAACCCTGGGGCATAGGTGTATCACTGCTGGCCGGTCACCCTGCCTGCTGCCATGGCCTCTCTCCTGCGGTCAGCCCTTCCGGCTCGGAGCAGTGCCCTCCGGAGAGCCTCAGGGAGGGAGGGGAGGCGGGATTAGGTGAGGTAGAGCGATTTATCTCTGGGGAGCAGGCTGCAGGAGAGAGTAGGGGCCGTCAGCTACTGGAGCCCACCCTGGTGCCCCGGCCCTGTGTCCCTCACTCTCATCAGCTGTCCCTAAGGTTGAAGGAGGGGCTGCCCATCAAGCAGAACCAAGCACCCTTCCTGGCATCCTGCCAGGGACCATCTAATTATTATTATTAATATTTTATCATTTGCTCCATGTCTACTGTGTTTGTTTGTATTTTGAGACAGGAGCTTATGTATCCTTATGTATCCCAGGCTGGCCTTGAACTCAAGATGTAGCTGAGGATGACCTAAACCTCCATGCTTTCATCCCAACCTCCACCCTGAGTTCTGGGATCCTAGGTATACATCACCACACCAGGTTTAGGCAGTGCTAGGACCAAACCCAGGGCTTTCTGCATTCTAGGCAAACATTCTACCAACTGAGATATGCCTTAAGCACCCCCACCATGCCTACATTTAGTCATAACATCATCATCTGTACACTTCAAACAGAATTACAGGAAAGTAGACACCTTCCTCTCTGTAGAATGCTGCACAGGGCAAGCCAGATATGTTGACTCATGCCCGTAGGAGGATGAGGCAGAAGGCTCACGAGTTCAAAACTAGCCTGGGCTATATAGAAAGACTTCACATTTAACAAGCAAGACTAGAACAGGCTGTTGAGGATCAAACATTGTCACCCAGGGGAGGAGGGGACAGCCTTAGGAAGTTCAGATACAAAGCACTTACTCCTCCTTGGCCCTGACTTTTGGGATGGGAAACTGGGTGGAAGGGAAGGGCTGGGGGGGAGTCTGTGCCTGTGTGGGCTACGAAGGGAACTCTGCCTACCAGAGTCTGCACACCTTCTAGGGCTCTCCCTAGAAGGTCAGAAGTGGAAGCAAGGGCAGGGTTGATAAAGGGCCAGGATCACCAGCAAAGCGAGGAGCCCATGCTGGAAGGCTGGTGGCCAGGAATGGGGACACACTGCCTGGTGATGGAGATGGACACTGTCCGCTAAATACTCAGACCTCACTCTCCGTTTGTGAAAACATGGGACAAAAGAAGAAAAGGAATGAACCAAGGCCAGCCTCAGTTTCCCTGTTGGCCTGGGCATCCAGCCAGCTGTGCCTCCGTCCCCCCCCCCCCCGAGGCTTTGCTCTCTGATCTGTGTTGTTCTCTGTACTCTAAACTTCCACCACTTGGGCTGAGGGTGTCCACTTCACATTCCCCTAGTGTCCCGCTGCCCTCCTGGCCACCCCTGCCCCTGCCCCGTGTTGGGAATGGACAGTGAAGGGGATCTGAGGAGGACTGACCTGCAGGTGCCGAGGCCACGCTCCCCGCTGGGGTAACTCCCATCCCAGTCCGCGCTGCTGGAAGGGTTGGATGGGCCAGGTGAGCGGGAGCCAGAGCCACTGGGGAACTCAGAGATATGTGGAAAGTCCTACAGGGGAAGGTGGGGTGGGCCGTGAGCAGAGGAGAGACCAAGGGGAGCCTCTCCAGCAATTGGCGTCATCTTTGTGTGTTTGAGGGTGTCTATGCCTCAAAGACACGTCCTGGGTCCACACAGAACGGCCACTCTGCCTCTTTCTCTTTCTCCCTAGTAGAAGATCTTTGGGAAAATTCAGTGTGAGCTGACCGTGTGGCTCAGCAATAGAGTACCTGCCTGGTGTGTGTGAGACTCTGGCTTCCACCCCCAGCATGACCGAGAAGAAAAGGAAAGAAAGAGTGAAAACGAAAATCCAACCCCTGACTCAGCTGAGTTTGGAGGGAGGGTGGCTTTGCCTTGGGTCTTTTTTCCTTTTCTGGACTTCAGTTTCCCAATCTGTAAAATGGGGTTACTTGCTGCATGCCCGTGCTGGAACCATTTGTGCAACTATCATTGGAAGCTAGGGCTTTGGAGATTGTAACGAGCTGGGACAATCTGGCAGAGGTCACAGTGGTCTAAGAGAAGGTTCTGGAGCAAAGTTTAGCTGGCAACTAATCAACTGCCTGGAGTAGCCAGTATCTCTCTGGGCAAGTAGGTGTTCTAGACCCATCTCAGAGAATTGGAAACCGAGGCTCAGAGAGGTACAGTGTCATGGCTGATGTTGCACAGCTAGTGAGTGGCCTGGCCAGTATATAACCCTCCTCCCCCAGCTGCCTTCCCTCTTGGTGAGAGTCACAGGCGGCTGCTGCTTGGTCCTGCTTACCTGTGGCCCTGGAGGCGAGGGACTCATGGCCAGCTGCACCTGGAGTGCCATGGAGGCAGGCAGGACAGCAGGCTGAGGGGCGGGGGACATGCTGAGGGGTGGGCTGAGGAGGGCGCCCTGCGCGTGGGGGGGCAGTGGCAGCTGCTGGTGCAATGAGGGGCTGAGAGGAAAGGAGGGTGGTGGTGGGGATGTGCTGAGGCCTGGCAGCAGGGCCTTGGAGCCCAGCGTCCTGGCCAGGCTGGCGGGAGAGGCTCCCGTGCGGAAGGCCTGCAGGTCAGAGGGCGTCAGGAAGGAAGCCAGGCCGGGCATGGCGTACATGGGCTGCTTGGGTGGGAGCATTTTGGCTGGTGGATTTGCCTGAGCAGTCTTGGCCTCGCCTTGGTCCGGAGGGCTCTGGAGGAAAATAGAAGCCAGGGATAAGCCAGAGATAGGGCAGAGCCTGGACTGTGGACTAGGTAGGCCTGCAGCCTGCAAGGCCTCTGGACGGCTCTGTGTTGTGCTACGGGGCTGGCTGTGAACTAATAAACCATAACTATGCAGGGACCTGCAGGTACATAGTTTTGATCAGCCAGTCAGCCCCACCTTTACCCTCGTGTGGGCTCCACTGGAAGTATGGTCCCGCTATCCTTACCCTGGCAGCAAGATCAATGCCAGCAATGAGCCAGGTATACTCTGTTTATGCCACCTCCAGCCTCCCACCTTTGCCCATGCAATTCTCTCAACTCTGTAAGCACCCTTTGCTTGGCCCTTTCGAGCCCAGCCCAGGTGTCGCTCTCTTTGCGACAGGCTCTCCAGGACAATGCTCTGCCTCCTTTGGGGCCTCAGACCCACCCCTTGCCCCTGTGCTTCTGGTGTGGACAGAGAGGTAGAGAGCATGGCAGCGCCAGGTTGGAACCTACAACAGTCACTTAAATGGCCAATCCCAGGCTCATTGCGGAGCCCTCTGAGTGCTAGCCCTTCCTGCTGAAGGAAGTCAATGAAATGAGCCTCACATGAAGCCTGCCACACTGGTGGTGCTCCCAAGGTGTGACGCACACACGTCACTCATCCTCTCTGAGGTCTGTGGTACCTGCTGTTCCCGCGAGTCCCAGCCTATGCTCTATCCCTCCCGTGGTACACTCTCATCAGGACGTTGCCTAGGGATTTAGTTACCTTGGAGACGAGGCTAGCTCTGTAGGCCGCCAAGGCTTTCAGGTACTCCTTCTTGGCAGCTTCGGTCTTCCTCTTATACGCCTGAAAGATCCGAGACATTGGGCAACTCTGGAGAAAATGTCACAGAGGAGCCACAGTGCAGAGGCTGGGATGACAAGGAGGGGCTTCCAGGGCCAGGCGTGGATGAAGGTTGTGGGGACAGAGGCCAGGCTACCCTCCGGTTCCTCAGCCGTGATGTTGGCACAAGTGACGACAGAAAGACCGCTCACCCAGAAGCCTCTCTTTGGCCCAGAACACCACCAATGTCCTAACGCCGCACTATCTTTGTATTCTGACATGAACCTGGCTCTTACTCATACGGCTGCCATTGCTCCTCTTAGCATTAGACCTAAGTTTCCATGTTCCGGCAGGAATGGCCCATGTGTCTCACATTCCCTCTGCCCACGCCTTCTAAGTAGAACTCTTCCACCATGACTTGGGGCTCAGCCTTGAGACTATCTGACCAGAGGCATAAGAATAAACTAATGAGGAGACTTGGAAAGTGCTTAGACTCCAGAATGGCTATTGGTTGCTCTGGGAATCAGCCTGGTGTGCTGACTTGAAAAAATTGGCCCCTACAGGCTCATATACTTGCATGTATAGTCACCAGGGAGTGGCCTTGTTTGTTGGTGGAGGTATGTCACTAGGGGTGAGCTTTGAAGTTTTAAGAGCCCAGGCCAGGCCCAGGATATATCTCTTCGTCTCTTGGTCTCTGCCTGTCTATCTGTCTCTCTCTACTTCTCTCTGTCTGTCTGTCCATATCTGTCTCTCTCTGCTTGCAGATCAAGATGTCACTCTCGGTTACTTTTTCAGCACCATGGCAGCCTGCCACCATGCTCTGTCATGATGATAGTGGACTAAGCCTCTGAAACTGTAAGTAAGCCCTCAGCTCAATACTTTTTTTTTTTTTTTTAAAGAATTGCCTTGGTCATGGTGCCTCTTCACAGCAATAGGACAGTTTTGAAGACACCTGTCTAGCCTGTGGGACCATGAGACGTGCAAGACTCAGCTATCTACTTTCTTGAAGAAGAGTTGCCTCGTGTGTTGCAGCCAACCGCAGAAGCATAGACATTCTCACCAAGGGCAGCCGATGAACCACCCTGCTGAGCCCAGCACAACCCACAACACGAGGAAATTGGGGCAAAGGTCTTAGAGTGGCAGCTGCCAGCCTCCCTGGCTCTTCCCGCTGCTGTAGCAGCAGACACGACATCCAAGGCCAACAACAAAGTCTCTATCAGTGAGCTTTTCCTAGGAGCAAGACCCTGACCTGCCACATGAGTGAGGCCAGAAATGTGGGCTTGAGCAGATCTCAGGTAATAACAAACAAAACCAGGGTTCATCCGGCACCCTTGCAGCTCAGATGGGTTAACAAAGACAAAGGGTTGGCTCCAGAGCTCCTCTTGCCCACGGTGGGAATTCTCTGACAATGTCCTCTGCCTTCCCTGGCTTCTTGTCTCCACTTCTTCCCAGCAGGTTTTAGACCATCTCTTAAACTACCGGCCCTCCATTAGTCTACAAAATCTCTACACTGCCAAATAGGACCACAACTCACATCTGTGCTCCAGCTTGCTACTGCTCTGGGCTTCCCACAGGCCCCAGGGACATCTCCATTCCCTGCGGTGCAAGACAGAATCCTAAGGAGTCCCCACCACACCCTCCACTTTCAAAAGAGCCGATGGATGGTGACTCCCTGGGGTGTTGTAAAGACGCATGTGGTGGTGGAGGGGGGATCCCCATGGCACTTAGCCTAGGTGTGCTCCAACCATAGTAGTCAGTAGGTAGGGAAGCCAGGACTCAAAGAGTCAATCTGAAGTGAGTAGCTGGTAATGCATTTCCAACAGCAGGAGTGGCTCAGCTTCCTTCCGCTGAAGGCCTTCAGAGAGACCACATGGCCAGTGAAGCAGAAAGGGCCGAGTTAAGGGGACTGCTGGATGTGGCTGGAGATGATCCCTGGTTTATGGATGGGGAAGCAGGGGCCCAGCAAAGGTAGTAGAACACAACACTGGAGGTCAGAAGGCATGGAATGAACCCTGCTTCCCAGCTTAGAGATGGGCAAACAAAGCAGCAAAGCCCCTTGCAGCAGCCTCTAGTCCCAGCGGCCAAATCTGGTATCACACTCTTGGTTCCAGGGCCCCAAGTCTCAGGAACAACTTAGAAGGGGACCAAGGCTCACCTGTTTCTGCTCTTCTCCCAGGCTGTCCCACATGGAGGCCACTATTTTGGACACATCCCCAAAGGTGGCACTGGGATTCTGCCCTTTGATGGCGGCTTGAGTGTCTCTGAAGAAGAGAGCGTAGGCTGACACCGGCTTCTGTGGCTCATTGGGGTCCTTCTTCTTCTTCTTCTTTGGGTTCTTGGCCTTTTTGCCTGGGTCTGCTGAGGGCCTCTTCTCTCCCGAGATCTGCCAAGTGAGAGGAGTTGGTAAACTGAAGATGTCAAGGGACTCCTAGCCAAAGTGACTCTAGCTAACCTTGGGCTGAGCTAGGCTTTCTCTGCAGCTTATCTCAGACCCATCTAGCCTAGAAAGGGCTGCCCCACCAGGGGTTCATACCCAGGCAGCTTTGGCCTACACTGTCATGCATTTGGAGGAGGGTGGCAACAGACACATACACATACATGAACATACGTGAACACATAAACCAGACAACAGATAGACAACATGCATTCTTACTTACATACATACAAACATACATACATACATACATACAAACATACATACATACATACATGTAGATGGAAATAGACACATGCACATAGATGTAGAAATACAGGGAGACAGGCACAGACAAACAGAACAACACACAACTACACGTAGAGAGACAGCTCTCAGGGACAGAGGGACCCAGAGGCACACAGAGACAGAAAGACAGACAGATGCTTGTGCACCCTGGGTTGGAGCCTGAGGTGTAGGCTTCTGTTTAGACAGAAGCAGCATGTGTCCTGACCTTCAGAGTTTCAGAGGACCTTGAAACTCCCTGCAGACTGGCAAGCCAAGAACACTGACTTGCTGGTGAGGCTGGCCAGTGCCCTGGGCAGCGATAAAGTCAGCACTCTGGGACTTTCTACCGTTCCCTATGGATGGGAGCTATGTGTGTTTCTAACTCTTCAAATGTAAACAAAACCCGTGCTGTTTTCATATCACTTCACCCCCACCACATTAACATCTATCTTTGCAGACTTACAAAGTCTCCTGACCAACACTGACCAGTGACAGAGGCCCAAAGCCAGGCATGGCAGTACATGCCTGTAATCCTTGTACTCAGGAGGCTGAGGCAGGAGGATTGAGAGTAAGGCCAGTATGGGAAGCATAAAGAGACCCTGTCTCATGAAATGCAAATAAGAAACCAAGGGTCCATCCTCCTAGACAATGCAGTAGTCTTATGTGCACCTGCTAGACCTTTTGCAACTGCGAGAATAAGAAGGTTGCCCCTGTCGTGGTCATAAATAATGTCCAACTAATGCCTCCATTTCTAAAGTGTAGGACATTTTCCCTGCACTTTAGTTGTGCTTCTTCTGTACGTCAACAAGGGGAAGGCAGCAGGATCAACGATGGTTAAGTGCTGGGCCGGTGGATAGACTCAGACCTCACGTCTGAGAGGCAGGGGATTTGGCAGGGCCGGTGGCAGTGCTGGCTCTGTTTCAAGTGTCCCCGGGGCACTCCATCAGCCCTTGGTGAGGCCTCGGTAAGGTGAGGACTGAAAACAGGTCTCTTCATGTGAGTGTGTGTGTGTGTGTGTGTGTGTGAGAGAGAGAGAGAGAGAGAGAGAGAGAGACAAAGAGACAGAGAGAAACAGAGAGAGACAGAGAGAGTGCATGCATGTGTATGCGTGTGTGAGAATGTGTGTGATTGTGTGTGTGCGTGATTGGGTGAGAATGAGTGTGCACTGCATGTTTGTGTGTGCATGAGTGTGTATGTGTGTGCATGTGTGTGTGAGAGTGAGTGTGTGATTGTGTGTGTATGTATGTGTGTGAGTGTGTGAGTGTCTGTGCATGACTGTGTATGAATGTGGGTGCATGGTGAGTGTGTGTGTTTATATGTATGTGTGAGTGCATATACACATGTATGCGCATGGTGTGGAAGACATCAGTCTATCTCAAGTGTGGTTACTAAGGTATTATCCATTTTTTTTTCAAACAAGATCTCTCAGCCTGGAGTGTCCCATTCAGCTAGGCTGGCTGAGCAGCAAGCCCCAGGGATCCTGTTGTCTCCACGGCCCCAGTGCTAGGGCTCAGGTCCTCATCCTCCCACAGTGAGCACTCTCCGGTCGCCCGGCTCTGAAGGCAGAGAGCTCGAGTGATGGAGGCTGCTGGATATGGCATGGCAGAGGTTAGGGGGGCGCAGTCCAGGCTGCGCTGCAGTCACCTGGGTATGGATTCTGGCTCTATAGCACTGATACGTTAATTAACTACTCTATGCCTCAGTTTCCCCATCTGCCAAATGGAGATAGTGAATATTACCCAACATCCAGGACTGTTAGGAGGACTGGAGGAATGAGTGTTTACCGTGCGCTTATAAAACTGTCTGGTCTGTGGGTTATGGAGTTTTGGGGTTTTTTGGTTTTGTTTGTTTTTGTGAGACAGGATCTTACACGGCCTTCGCTAGTAGCTTTGCTGTGTAGTTAAGGATAACGTTGGACTTAAAGCTGATCTTGAACTTCTGATCTCTTGCCTCTACTTCCTGAGTACTTAGATTGCAAGCCTGCATTTCCACATCTAGTTTATGTGGTGTGGGACTGAACCCAGAGCTTGTTTGGTGCATGCTAGGAAAACATTCTGCCAATTGAACTGTAGCTCCAGATCCTAGAAATGTTTGTTAACAAAACACAACACACACAAAACAACACAAAACAAAAACCACCCCCGAGGCTGGAGGTATAGCATGGCAATAGAGCACTTGCCTAGCTCAGGCAAGGATTTAGAGTAACTCCCCAGGAATGTGTAGAAATAAAGGAAGGCAAAACGGGGGGTGGGGAGATGGAGGGAGAAAAGAAGAGGTGAGGGAGAGGGGTGAGGAAGACAGAAGTCATCCCCACTTGGCCTCTGTTGTAGGCCAGGGTATCATCGGAATGATGTTGGACCAGAATGAGAAGCACACAGACCCCTGGGCACTTCAGGGCCTCCTGTCATGGACACTGTGACTAGACCCTGGGCCTCTTCAGGACCAGCATGTGCCTGGAGGAGAGGGTCTCCAGCAGATTCAGCAGCCACAGTCTGATGTCCCAAGGGCTCAGGTGCCAGCTCTCTGACCAGAGGTCCACACGCTGTCTCTTGGTTTCCAACTAAGACCAAAACCTCCTTTCTAGTCTTTTCCAGAGGGTCATGGTGGAATGACCTGGCAGAGCCCCTTCTCCACTTGGGGAGATAACCTGGTAGCTACACCCTTCCATTTCACGCACCTTGAAATGGGCATCTGACTCCTCCTCCTGTGTGGAACTGGATGGAGAGGGGGTCGCTGACTTGCTCCCTGGGGGTGATGGGGAGCTGTGGGCAATGCCACTCCGGATGCCCATCTGGGAGATGAGCTGGGACTGGCTCAGGGCACTCATGTGACTGGCCAGCATGGCGGGGCGGCCCAGAAGAGGCCCTGGCCGGCCTGAGTCATAGGCAGCTACCTCCGAGTGGACCATCTCCTGGATCTGAGAGAAGACAGGGTGATTGTGTTAGAAGGCTCTGCCTTGCCAAATGCTGTACTTGCCTCTCGGGCTCAGAGGAGGACTTTGTGGATGAGAAGTGTCAAGTGGCCATTTCTGTACTGCCTATGCTTCCCACAGGGATCCCTGTAGGAGAATCTCAAGATGGAGCGCCATTGTCCCCTGACCTCTGCATAGTGCAGAGCACCTGCTAAGCCCCGAGGTTCCCTTGGCACCTCGCCACTCTGTTGGCATCTGCCCTGGGCAGTCCAGCTGTAAACGGATCATCTCATGATACATGCTGCACATGAACATGGCTCTGCCTTGTCTCCTGTGTGACAATGAGCAGCCGAGAGTGCAGATGCTGGAAGTCCACTTCTGAATCCTGGCCCAGGCCCTGGCCATGTGACAATGGCCATGATTGACCTCACTGGGCCTCAGCTTCTTCATCTGTAAGATGTACAATCAGACTGCTTCCCAGGATTTAGAATAGTGTGTACCCTTGACCCAAACAGACAGTATAGATGCATGATTCATTGAGGCTTACGTGAACATCCTTAGAATTATTGTTTATTTCCTCTGCATTTGTTATTTATTCTGTCTGATTTCTAACGTTAAGCACCGCCCCCCCCCCCCCCCCCCTCAGCTTTTTCTTTATTAAGCAAGCAAGTGGCTTTCTATTTTATGTGGGTTTACAACTTCTCCTTAAAGGAGTCAGATCTTGCTGGGCAGTGGTGGCACAGGCCTTTAATCCCCACACGGTAGGGTGGAGGGGCGTGGTGGTACATGCCTTAATCCTAGCACTTAGGAGGCAGAGGCAGGGGCATCTCTGTGAGTTCGAGGCCAGCCTGGTTTACAGAGTGAGTTCCAGGACAACCAGGGATACACAGAGAAACCCTGTTTAGAAAACAACAACAACAAAAAGAATTTCTCTAAGCATGGTGGCACATCTTGCAATCCCAGAATAGCCTGAATTACGTAGCGCGATCCTGTCACAAACAAATGCGATCTCAAACTCATCCCTTGCCTTCTCTGTTCTCTAACTATTTGATATCTAACTTCACCCTTGTTTAACCTCTCCTTCTGGCTCATAAAGATTACTGTTGGATCCCCATTCCCACCCCCCCAGTTTTGAATTATATTTCAATTCATTTATTTCCCTTTGTTTTATTGTTAGTAGTGTTTAGGGGCTGGGGAAGCTACATGTTGTGTGAGCATTAGGACCTCTGTTCAGACCCTTGGCAGGCATGCAGAAAGGGAGCATCTAGACACTCCTCTGTAACCCTGGCATCAGGACTGGGAGGTGGACACAGGGAAGGTTTATGGGGAGGGATGAACTGGAGACAGTTGGATTGATCCTGGGGTCTTGGCTAGAATTGCAAGGTCCAGGTTCAGGGAGTGACCCCACCTTAAAAATGAGAGCAGGACAACCGCACAGATATGGGCTATCTGGCTGGGGCGTGGCCAGCAGGAAGATGGTCACCCCGGGTCCTCCAGGCCCAGGCTGGCGGGAAGACAGCCATGGGTGCGCCCGGCACCTTGCAGTGCCAGGCATGTGTGCTTTATTACGATAAGGAAATATGTAGTGGAGAAACAGAGAAGCGGAACGGTTCATGAGCTATGGGAGGAAGCCGAAAGGAAGGAATGAATATTGGGAGGAGTCGGTAGGTGCTGGGGGCCTGCTTGTCACCTGGATTCACGGTGATGTCGATGAGAAGTGTACAGAGGGGCAGCCCTGCTTGCCACCTGGTGCCATGATAATGCTGTCCGGGCTGGGCTGCTGCCAAGGGCCATATCGGGTCTCTGGTCCGACAGTAGCCACGGTCTGTGTTGATGTCCCTGGCTCCTGTTGCCGTTGAGTGCTATGCTGATTCCAGTGGCCCAATCTGCCTCCTTCATCTGTGTTTGGGTCACAGCCCATGCTGCCGCTGGGTCCATACCGATCAAGGGGGCCTTTGCTGCCACCTGGGACTATTGTGACAACCAGGCCCGGGCTGCTGCCAAGGACCACATCTGGGTCTGTGGTCCTACTACAGTCAAGGTCTATGTTAATGCCATGTCACAGGGAGCCATGAAAGGCCACGTGACATCTGAGATCTGGGCCACAACCTGCGGCCTCGTCGGTGTGCAGGGGCCAAATACTTCTACCAGAGCCATCCTAATCCAAGTTGCCAGGGCAAACGCTTGGAGCTAGGATGTCGACCAGGCCGAGCTGCTGCCTGAGGCCATGTCTGGGTTTGTAGCCTTGCTGCAGCCAGGTTCTGTGTTGAAGTCTGTGGCCCAGGTTGCTACTAGGGCCAATACAGAGGCCTGATATCTGAACTGGAGACTGCGACTTGTCCGAAGGCCACGTCACAGCAGGGGCTATACAGACATGAGTGGACTGGGCTGCTACCTGGGGCCATGGTGTCATCTGGGCCCAGGCTGCTGCGGAGGGCCGTGTCTGTGTCTGTGACGCTACAGCAGCCAGGGTCTGGATTTGACGTATGAGGTGTCTCTTGACACCAAGCACCATGAAGATGCCCAGGGTCAGATCAGCCGCCTGAGTCCAGGTTGGTGTCCAAGGGCCAGGAGGCATCCAGATCCGAGTGGCCTGCACTGCTACACAAGGTCATGGTGACGTCTGGGTCAGAGCTGCAGCTGAGAACCATGTCAGGGTCCGTGGTCTCCTGCAGCCAGGGTCTATGCTCATGTCCAATGCATTTGCTACCACCGAAGGCCTTGCAGACACCAGAGATGGAGGGCCATGACAGTATCTCAGGGCCATGCTGCCGTTGGGGCAGTGGTCATATCCAGACTCAGCCACTGTTGAGTGACCATGTCGGGGTCCACGGCTCTACTGTGGCTGGGGTCTGTGCTGAAGTCCAGGTCCTGCATTGCCAAAGGTTAGGGCTGCAACCGTTCCTACCTGAGTGGCCAGAGCTGGGATATCTCCTAGGCCCAGGCTGCTGCTGAGGACCATGTCTGGGTCCATGGTCCAGCTACAGCTGGGATCTGTGTGGATGTCTGTAGCCTGTACCTCATCCAGAGGCCCTAGGAGCCAAGTGAGATGAAATCAGAGGGCCATGCTGAGCTGGCCCTGGAAAAGCTGGCCTTGCCTCTTGCTAGACACTTCAAGAAAGCTGGCCCCTGCACACTGGAGAGATGGTCCCCACCCCTCGCCATGGGCCAGGGTAAACTGACCCTGAGGTCAGGCGTGTAGCAAAGCTGACTCCACTCACTTGCCTGAGGTGGGTGGCCCTAGAGGCCTGGATGGGCCAGCTTGGCTACTATCCAGGAGGTCCACAGCCAGGCCTTGGGTTGACCCACCCTAGCATCTACTCTATCTAGGACCGGCTGGAGCTGGTAAGGGGAACGACACCCACAAGGTCTCCAGGACTCATGGTAGCCACAGGATATCCCAGAGGAGTTCCGGTTAGGATCCAGCGATGATGGTGTACCAGAAACCAGAGACCTTAAACCAGACCAGTGACTTGTTGCAATAGACATTTGCCAGTAAAACTGATGGGACACAGAGGTTTACTATAGGGTACACTGGAGCCTCCATTGCCATCAGGACGAATGAAGAGGTGCTGAAGAAGCAGGAAAGAAGAAGAAGCAAAGAGATTTTTCTGTTTTTGTGGACTTTGTTTTGTTTTTGTTGTGTTTTTTGTTTGTTTGTTTTATTTTTGTTTTTTTCTTTTTTCTTTTGCGCTTACTCACTTGATTGCTTACTTTGATTTGTCTCTTTATGTGGGGAGAGTGTGGCAGGGATGAGAGGAGGACGGGGGAGGGGGTGGGGACCGGGGGGGTGAATGGAATTGAGGTGCATGATGCAAAACTCCCAGAGTCAGTAAAGAGTTGAGAGAGAGAGAGAGAGAGAGAGAGAGAGAGGGAGAGAGAGAGAGAGAGGAAACTTATATCTCATAAAAAATGAGAGCAGGGCTAGGGAGATGGCCTGGTGGTTACGCTTGAGGATGAGGGCCTCACATAAGTGACAGGTGGACGTGGTGGCCCACCTGTCATTCCAGGGCACAGACAGCATCTTCAGAGCAAGCTGGCTAGCAAGATCAGCCATGTCACCGAGTCTGGATGTGACTGAGAAGAGACAATGGGCGAATAATTGCTGCCTATCAAATTCAGATGATTTTGAACACTTGAACATGAATACACACACAAGCATACACACACACTCACACATGAAAATGAAAAAAGGAAAAAAAGAGAGGAGTGGAGAAGTACAATGGTTGCCTCTGGCTTCCACACACCCACTATGCATGGGCACCATCACACCCACTCTCCCTACAATTAAAATCTTATTTTAATGCTAAAAATGTTTTTATAGACTTTACTGTGAAGGGTTTTTAATTTTTCCATCATTTATGTGCATGGCTGTTTTGTCTGCATTCATGTGTGTGCACCACTTGTGCGCATTCATGTGTGTGCACCACTCTGGTCCCCTCAGAGGCCAGAAGAAGGTGTCAGATTCCCTAGGACTGGCGTTGTGAGCTGCCATGTGAGTGCTGGGAACTGAACTTGGGTCCTCTGCAAGAGCAATAAGTGCTCTCAACTGCTGAGCCATCTCTCTACCCCCAAAGAATACTGTGTAAGACTTTTGTTATTGATCTCTTATATATATAGGTATTTCATTCTTTAATTTTTTTTCCTTTGACTCTAGAGTTTGGAAGCAGAATCCAGTGACTTCCAAGTGGATAATTTTGCTTCTTGTTGCTTTGTCTTGAATCACAGAAGAGATGACTGTTTTCACAGTGTGCCATTTGTACTTCTGAGAATTTGTTAAGGTTTCCTTTGGAGAACAAATATAATTAAATCATTACCTGTTCCAAAGTACTTCAAGGCAAATGGTGGGCCATGGCCACGATGCAGTAGCATACCATCTCTTGAGGTGGGCTGTGGCAATGATGCAGTAGGGTACCATTTCTTGAGGTGGGCTATGGCCATGAAGCAGTAGTGTACCATCTCTTAAGGTGGGTCATGGACATGATGCAGTAGGGTACCATCTACTG